GACTAGTAAAATAATCGTTTGTGGCAGCCCTAGTGTGCATGTACTGGGCTGTTATGTTCTAAATTATTAAATTAAATAATAATAATTAAAATGCTAACTAATTGAAAAAGAAGTGTACCGTAATTGTCGGGCTATAAGCCGCTACTTTTTGCACAAGTCAGGTGCGGCTTTTCTATGGATTGTCCATGATTTTTGTCATATCGTAAGACGATTTGTTTTGTTTGTTCCGCTGTTGTACGGCACTACGTTGCCTGGCGGAAGGATCGGGGTTCAAGAGTGGTATGTTGGTCACATGTCGAAGAAGAAGAAGGTGTACTTTATTGGTCCCCGTGGGGAAAATCGCTCTCTGCATTTAACCCATTCACTCAGTGAAGCAGTGGGCAGCCATTGGGCGCCCGGGGAGCAGTGTGTAGGGACGGTACCTTGCTCAGGGGTACCTCAGGGTAGCTGTTCAGGGGAATCGAACCCCCGACCTTCCGATCATGGGGCCACCACTCTACCTACTGAGCTATCTCTGCCCTGTACTGAGCTATCTCTGCCCTGTCCATCCGCCAGGCAACATAGTGCTGTACAAGTAGCGCGAAAAGTGGCTTGAAGACGTTTCGCCTCTCATCCGAGAAGCTTCTTCAGTTTTAGGGTAAAGTGGTGGAGTCTCCCAGATTTTTCTTTTCAAGCTCCTTAGAAATCTGAGATGATGGTGTTTTAGATTTATCAGAATCAGAATACTTGAATAACCCCTGAGGAAATTATGTAAATAATTTAACAGAGTTACAGTTGACATTTAAAATGAACCCCTTGGCGGTTTTACTATTAACTATACATTTAATCTTCAGTATAAGAAAAGTGCAGTTTGAACAGTTTCTCTACACAATAAGGAAATGGTGCTAGAATAAGAATGGGCTGGGTCTTATATATTTGTGTGACATGGCCTTCCTGCTCTCAACACCAGCTGAGCACCGCAAATAAGCAGGTGCACAACAAACCACACAAAGCTGCCAGCTCATGCTTCTGTAGCATCGTGTGTGCTATTATGAACTACTCTCACACTGCAGCTGCACTTAGGCTCTGCCCCTTCCTGAGTGTGTAAAACATCTGCAAAAGGTCACATGACATCTTAGAAACTCTGAAACATCTTCCGTCTTCCTCAAATGGGGACTTGTCTCAGACCTGGTGCTGGTTCCTGTTTGCCTATGAGGTCTTGTGTGCTGTAGCTCCACCCACTAAAATGACCTGTTGTACTGAAGGATATATCACTGGTTTATTTCTGTGTGAAATCATTGTCAAACCTTTGTGTTCTTCAGCTGCGCTCTGACCCCAAAATCGTCATTGCCAAGATGAATGCCCTGGCCAATGACGTCCCTCTGGGTTACGACGTCCAAGGGTGAGATTCAGGTTTCCCGTGACATGCTTCAGTCATTGCCAGGTGTGAGTCTGATGTCGCTGTGTCTGCCTGCAGGTTTCCCACCATCTACTTTGCTCCAGTAGGCAGGAAGGACGAACCCGTCAGATACCAGGTAAGACACCTGAGTGCATACCCAAGACCTGAGGCTAGATGGACCTCAGCTACAGTTTTAGATGAAGTTGCTTCCTCTCAGTTTATCTAAGGTCAATGTTATCTGCAGCAGCCCACTCGCCTGTGCTGTAGTTTTCCCTCACAGCTGTTTGAGCTGCCTTGTCTCAGGGTTTTATGGGTAGTTAATTATGCTCTGTGCTCACCTATGTGCACTAGCTCAGGTCCACACCTGCAGTCTGCGGCTTCTCTCAGCATATGTCAGTGGGATTTAAAAATTACATTTTCTCATTTACATACATCCTGTTTGTCAACACAGAGTCTGCCCATTCATACTTCACATTTAAATAATTTTCTAACCCCCCGGGTCAGTGTGAGCACTGCAAAGTACAGACACTCATTTTTCTCCACAGCCACTCATGGTCAGCTCAGAAGAAACACAGGACATAATTTGGTCCATTAAACTGCACCTGCTTCCACTTGTACAGGCTCTTGACTGATATGGTACAGGTACAACCACATCTGTGCACAGATCAGAAGAGGCGTTTTCTCAAAGTGCAGAAGTGAGTCATTCAACGATTCAGTGCAGAGAGGTCCATTAACACATAGTGAGTGAGAAAGGTGAAGAAGACTCAGTGCATCATCCGAATCCCCCAGCAGCCTACACTTATTGCAGCATAACTAAGGGAGGATTCAGGGTCACCTGATCCAGCCTAATGATATGCTTTAGCAAAAAGGAAAGTTTTAAGCCTAATCTTAAAAGTTGAGCAGCCAATAACACCAGTGTGCTTTTTACTGCTCTCATTTATCATCCACAGGGCATACGGACGCAGTACCCTCAGGGTCTGCCGACTGCTGCTAAAGTCCTGATTTTATACTAATTAATTAAATCCTCGTCTTATTCCTCAGCTGGTCTATATAAATAAAAGTGTGTGTATATAATAATAACTAATGTGAGCCTGTAAAGGGCTGGATGTTAAAAATCCTTCCTGGTGACAAATATTTGCTTTGATTACACTGTAACTTCAGGCTGTGGTCTTTCCTGGAAAACCCAACGTGTTTATACTGTTTGACTCAACATTTATTGTTCAGAAACAGCACTACAGCTGTTTCTGAACAATAGGCTCATACACCACCAAAGAAGAGCCTACAGGGATTATAAATGAAGAATTTTACTTTGAAAGTCTGTTGTCATTTACGTACACACACAGCCACATTTCCTGCTCGGACCAGTCTGTTTTTTTTTAATACACCCTCATTCATCCAGAGCTGCAAGTGGAGGAAGTGAAGCTAAAGTTCAGTGTTTAATAGTTGGTAGTTTGCTGAAGCTTACACAGACACTGTGGACACTGTGCAGTTTGTGAAGGCAAGGCTTCACAGTAAGGGTGGAGCTTGAGCCACCGACAGGTTTTCAAGATAAAGTCTTTATGTTAACTTCCTTCTGGGGTCACATGACATCTCCCATGTGCTTTCAGGGCACCCGCGAGCTCAAAGACTTCCTCCGGTTCCTCAAGCGAGAGGCGAGTCACCACTTGGTGTTGAGTGGCTTCAAAGATGAACTCTGACACCCCCAACAGCAAGGAGGAGAGCCTGAATCTGGAGCGCCAATACCGGACATTACATCAGGACACTCGTTGCATCAAATCAAATCGCTCACTCATCCCTGAAACACACCACTATTAATCATGCCATTGTCAGCCTCATTATTTATTTATTTATTTATTTATTTGTTTGTTTGTTTGTTTGTTAACTTCAGTCGACCTCCTTTCGTGCACAAACAGGTTGCAGGTGTTTTTCTTCTGTTTTTTGGGACAATAAAGTTTTGTATGAATTTCAGAGACTTGGACAGGTTTGTGCTCGTTCAGGCCCACAGCTGCTTATCGACCTGTCGTCCCAATATGCTTTAGGCACATGTGATGTCACTGGACACAGGTAAACACACTCATGGGAATATCCACGTGTGTTTTCAGAATGCAAATCAGTCAAAATTGATTCTCAGCTTGGTGTACAAATAAGTCACAAGAAATGCAGAAAGTGCTACATGAGCACCAGCCCTGAGTCTCCTCAATGAAGGAGACATTCACAATCAGCCTGTTAGATATAAGCATAATTAAATTCACATATGACTACTCACATTATTTGCCACATTTTCATGACGGTAATCCCACTTTTTATTGTATTTATGGCTGGTTGGTTCTTGGAACCAACTCTCTCATGCATTCATGAGTCTAAATGTTACATAGTAGAGTAGAAAAGCACTGTAGTCCATTTACCTTTGGTTTCTGCTTTGAGAAGTACTGAATAAAAATGTTTTGGGAACCCCGGTCAAAAACACCCCCTCCTCTCATGCAGTTTCAATAAATGAAACTATTTATTCACCTCATGCTTGCCATGGATCCTAAACTAAGGTATCACACAATATCAAAGGTGGTGGGGCATTCTGTCAGTCATTTTAAAGAAGAAAGGCTTCATTGTTTCATGAATCACCTGATCCAGTCTAGAAATTACCAGAACACTGGAGATGTTACTGCATTAACCTGAGACAGCTGGGTCGGTTCCTGGTCATGAAACACATGAAAGGGAGACGTGATGCTGCTACAACCCTGCTGGGAGTGAGGAAGACTTCTGATGTGACTGCCCACTGCCCAGTGGGAAAACGAGCTGGAAAAAAGTGTAACCTTTGCTCCTTAACAGACAGGAAGGGAGAAAGTGGTAGCGCCTGATGCTTTTGCTTGTTTCCAGTCCTGTAGAAAGATTGGTTTGCATTACCAGGAGTAAGTCTAAGTCTATTTAATAATAATGAATTTTATTTATTTTATTTATAAAGATCCTCAAAATTACATTAGTACAACAAAATAAATGATAAAAATAAGAAGACCAAGTGATATTATTTCTATGTGCCGTGAAGGAAAGAGTGCTGTCAATGATGACACCAACACTGTTAACCTGAGGGGAAGGTATGACAATAGTTATCAATGGATAATGAAAGATTTATGGTCCCAACTTTAGTCTGTATAGATTTGGTGCATATTTGAATAAATTCTGTTTTATTACCATTAAGCTTAAGAAAGTTCTGAAACCTTGATTTCACTTTAACGATAAGAAATGTGGGTATGAGAGTAACTATAGGTTTGGAAGTAGATTTGGGTGTCATCTGCGTAGCAGTGGAATTGAATGTTATATTTCTTGAAAATATTACCTAGATGTAGGAGATAATAAAAAGCAAAGATCCCAGGACAGAGCCTTGGGGTACACAGGACTTAACTGGAGTAGATGGTGATCTGTGAATAAGTAATTGAAAAAAACTGTGCACGGCCAGAGAGATATGAGGTAAACCAGGCGAGTGCTATATTTTTGATGCCAATAGATGTTAATCTATGAAGAAGGATGCCGTGGGAGATTGTATCAAAAGTTGCCATAAGGTCAAGGAGAATGAGGATAGTGATGAGTCCAGAATCCGCTGCAAACAAAAGATCATTTGTGATTTTTCCTAGAGCTGTTTCTGTACTATGGAATGAACAGAAGCCAGATTAAAACGGTTCAATTTTTTCAGTTTTATTTATACAGCACCAAATCACAACAACAGTCAATTTTAAGGTAGACCCTACAATAATACATACAGGAAAAACAACAATTAAATGACCCCCTATGAGCAAGTACTTTGGCAACAGTGGGAACACGTGAACACGTAAACATTCGGCCCATTTCTCATGGGGCGCTGCTAGCTTGAGTGACACACATGTCTAAGATGGACTTTATACAGTTTATTCCTCTGCACGACAGACTGCTCTATACAGGTTACAGGGCACGCCTCTGAGCACATCTATCATTAATGCTACTGTGCATAAAGCTCCGACAATGGTACAGACCAGCGGTTCATTACACTCCCACCAATCATGCTATGATTTACAAACTAGCTGAATCATACATGATTCTGAACAACAACAAAAATGAAACCACTTCAGCCAATATAAAGGTGTACAGACCATGATAGAGCAGTTGCCACTTGGAATGTTACATTGTTTATGTCAATATGTCAGTTCATCTCAGACAATAACATGTTTGTTATTATTCTCTTTCAACAAGAACCACCAATTTTTGGATAGGCTGCTCGATAATGGGGGGCTTGAAAGCACGGTCCTGTTTTTTGGTCCGACTTTGGTCTCCTACTTGAACCTTGACCCGACGGACTAAACCATCATCCCAAAATTCAAATTCAAATTTTATTTGTCACGTACACAGTCATACACAGTACGATATGTAGTGAAATGCTTGGACAACTGCTCGTGACCTAAAGAAAACAAAAAAGGAAAAGGCTATGAATAAGATAAAGAGATCCACCAGGAACCTGTATGCAGCACACCATCATTGGAAACGGGACAGATAAAACTTTATTAACAAACAGCCTGAAGGCAGGCGAGCCAACCCTAGTTTAAAGCGACTGGCCCACATTGATTCGTACCTTCTCCACCTTGGCGTACTTCTTGATGTCAATCTCTTTGCGACCGCTCTCCTCCAGTTCCACAGTGCGCACGGCGTCCAGCGCAATGTTACAGGCCAGCTCAGACCAGCGGCTCAGAGCTTTGGTGTTAATGGCTGAGTGGACAATCTTCAGCATCATGGAGCGGTCTGACGTGTCCACAGGGGTGCTAGGAGGGGAGGGGGCAGAGTTACACATAGCATAGGACATGGCAACTTCATCGCAGCTGGAACAGCCGTTACCTGATCTCCTTCAGGGTGTCCAACATGTCCTCCAGCGCCCGGCGGTAAGCACTGATGATCACAGTCGGATGCATCTGCTGCTCCAGAAACTGCTCAGCCACTGCCAGCATCTCACCGGCTGAAGGTCACACAGGTGACAGGGAGAGAGAGAGAGTGAGAGAGGGGGGGAGAGAGAGACAAAGACAGATTTTAGATCAACTGAGAGATCGTGTGATTGTGTGCCACGTTTCTCGTGCTCTTCCTCACCCAGTATGATGACCGAGGTGGTTCCATCTCCCACCTCCTCATCCTGTGTACGGCTGATTTCAATCATCGACTTCGCTGCTGGGTGCTGTACCTGGATCTGTTGCCAAGGAAATGCAGCAGGTGAGGAATCACACGCCTGATTAGATGTTGAATGAGTGTGAGCGTGTGAGTGACTGACCTCTCTGAGGATGGCATTTCCATCATTGGTCATCACGATTCCTCCAGTGGGATCGAGCAGCATCTACATATACACAAACACACACAGGGGCACATGTTAGCATATTAGCATGCCAACAACACTTCTCTTGCTGTGCTGTGCATGTGCAGAGGGTCTGACCTTCATCATGGCCCTTGGGCCAAGGCAGGTCCTGATGACATCAGCGATGGTCTGAAACGCACAAAGAGACCAAGGGGTCAATTGATCACTCAATCAATCCCAGCGGGTCAGATCAATAGTTCCTATCACCTGTAAGGTTATGGTGAGTCTGTGCTCACGACTCACTGGGGATCTCAGAGTTAGCATGACATCTGTAACATGTTTCAAAGAGCCAGGTGTACAACTGCTTATTGATTATTATTTAGTCATGCTGATCACACTGGTCTGTGTTAATATGATCAGATTTTATCTGTCACACACAATTTGAGTTCATTTATCCTCCTGCAGTGAATCTATGTAGAGCACTGAGAGACCAGAATGCCAATATTCTGCCAGGATAACTAAAAGTCAATAAAAGCTAGCAGGTTGTGTGTGTGTGACAATGGTCAATAATGGAGCACACAGGAGCTGGCTCTTTGCTGAGATGTTTGTGATGGTACTCCTGGTCCTTGAGCAGCACCTGGACCAGCCTGAACCGGTCTAGTTATGTGCCGACTCAGTCTCTGAGCATCACCTTTTTGCTTTCTGTGCCACAGCCAGTCCGGCATTCAGAGGAAACACACAGCTCCCCGTTAGTGTCTGACGCTGTTAGCAGAGTGAAACCCGTGTACACATTGTTTCAGACTGAACTATCAGCCAATCAGTGAACACGATTATGTCACTGTCAGCACTGTAAACTGCTCTCTGCAGGTGTTTCTTAGGTAAGCCATCAGTGTGCACAGGCTGTGTGTAACACACTAAAATCTAAATCTGAGTTTGACCCGTTCTGCACAAACTCTCTGCTGGTCTGTAGGGTTGTTATGTATGCACACACGCACACAACTAACACATTCATATAGTGTAGGACTGTCAGAAATCTTCATCAGACAGTAACATTTACCTTACTGATAAGTGCATTTTTAACCAATTTGTTTTTGCATTTAGGACAATGTTTTATATAAAAACAATTTAATACCGCATGTGAATGTGCTACACATCCTTTGGCAGATGTTTTCTGCAGCTTCTAAACAGAAAGCTAACAAAGCACACAAATTTAAACACCTTTTTTATCTTCTCCAAATTTTACTCTTCTTCATTTATGAGCAAATATATGTATAAATTCAATGACTAAATAATCATAAACACTTGGGTAAAGCTATTCATTATTTCAGTAACTGAGTATTCTATTAATTGCTCAGTGACAAATAAACACGTTCATCCTATTAATTAGTAATATTAAATATTCAGGAGATTAAATCTTAGAAATGTATACAATCAAATAGTTTAAAAAGCTGTCCAAGCACAATGCTTTTATTTTAGTTAAAAAAACAACACAAAAAACGCTATCCAAGCTATGACAGGGTGAGAGGATGGGGACACACTGCACAGGTACTATGGGTTCTACATAGAACCAAGCTAAAAGCATGAGTAGAGGAGCAGAGGCCGCCCTGGTTAACCCAGGCTACTGTCACTGGTGGATTTCCTCGATTAGCTAGCCAGACCTGAGGTTTTTTGCTCAGACACAGAACATAATGTTTGTTTGCCTCCTGTGAGTGCACTTGGACACAGCTGCTTATTAAGTAACTAACCAAAAACTTTAAGGACAGTGTGAAGCTCATCAAGAAGCTCATTGTGCTATGAGACCAATCCGATCATGATTCTATTTTTATTTTTTTTTACCCAGCCCAGCTCCTACAAGAAGAGGAGCAGGCCAAGACTGACTACAACCAACAGCTGGAGCACCTGCCAGATTGGACATGTCAGTTACCACGGTATCAAATTTGATAGGCAAGATATATGTCAGCAGTGGTGCGGGGACCGCTGTGCACAGCACCAACACATCATATGGATCACAAAGCAGGTTATTCAGTTTGTGACCTAAAGGGCACAGAAGGAAGTGAGCAGAGCCTTGTAGAACAAACGCACCTTTGCTGCATTGATGTTCCCGGTCTGGACTTTACGTCCAGACTCCCTCTTCACGTTCTGGTCTGCAGAGACAAACACACACAGGAAGTTACTGCCCGCATACACGCAGTGCTGTTACTCTTTATTCTTATTCGTACAGTGATGATCCGTTTTCAATAGGCAGAGGTTCCGCCTGAAAAAGAAAACGATCAGTACTGATGATGACTCTTCTCTCTGGATCGATCACAATGATCAGAAACACAATAACATGTTCCTAATGACATAATCAATAAGTGAGTTCACACTAACACAGGTGGAGGATTCCACCTTCACTCCATCACATGAACGCCTGATTTTAGCCTCAAAGAAACCGTTAGCCTGCTAGCTCCGTGTTCATGCTGAGTAACGGGTTAGCTTAAGTTAGCCTATCATCCATCTGCTAACCGGGCTAACATGCTAACGCCGGCCGCGCCCCGCTTTGTGCGTCTCTGGGTTGTTAGCGGATCGAAGGCAGTTCCGAACGGCCTGCGTACGGTTGTCGGTGGTTTTGTAAAAGCTTTGGAGGAAAATAAGAATACTCACTGAGCACTAAAACCTGCTGGCCGATCATTTTCACAGCGCGTGCCGGACAACAGCCTGGAAGCTTCTGGGTGGCACGAGGAGAGAGGAAGGCTCCACCTACAGGGGCGGGCAAACAGCCCGGTCCGACTAATCAGAGAGAACATTGCGTGACAGATAGGCAGATCCACCAATAAACTGAATGAGGCAAAAGGGTCGCCCTTTCATATGGAGACTAAAATCAGCCTTTAGTTTCATATTATCTCCGTGTATTAAAAACTGTTTCCGCTAAAAATAGAGCAGCTTCTACAATAAGCACCATCAGAATTCAGAGTTTTGGACTGAACTTCTAAAATGACATTTTTTGCTTTTTTTAAAGAAACAATTTATGCTCAGGAGCATGGGCGTCTCAGAGCTTTTTCTAACCCTCATCCTACCTACCTATGGTGCGCCGTTTGTAAACTGAAAATGCTGAAATTAGCGGCAACAGTTTTCCACATTTAGCTCCAAACCTTATGAAAACATTTTTCGAGTCACTTTTTACAACATTTACGAAAATATTTGTAACGTTTTATATTTCAAACTTTTTGTATTTCAAAATATATTTAATCTAAATACTATATAAAATACAAATTTTACATCTAAATATTATATTTAAATCATCAGATAGTTTCTCATATAAAAACGGAACATCCAACTGTTGGAGAAATGATGCTGATTTTTTTTTTTTTTTTTTTTTTTTTTTTTTTTTTTTTTTTTTTTTTTTATTAGTAATATAAACATACAGACAAAATGCACCATATATTACAGATTCAGAGAATAAACATTTTTAACATATTAGCAACTTTCATATATAGTGAAAATAAAATATAAAGATGGGTCACATAAATTAACAGATTATTAACTCACTAAATCAAAATCTTCCACAAAGGAAACAAAAAAAGCAGCTTTTTTCTTTTTAACTAAAGTCAACGATTTAACCAACAGGTTTAAGTCGTTTTTCCAGTGAGCCAGTGTTGGTTTAATCTTAAAAAAGCGACATTTATGTATAAAATACTTACACAAGATTAATAACACATTAACACCATAATTAGCTTTCTTTTCTTTCAAAAACACTCCAAACATTATCATATTTAAGGTAAATGGGGTAATTTGAATCCCACTGGAATAAAGCCAGGTATGAAAATCCAACCAAAATATTTGTATAAAATTGCACAAAAAGAATAGATGGTCCAAATCCTCCTCTTCTGTTTCACAAAATACACAATTACCCGCTTCTATTTTGAATCTATCACTAAGGAGTCTATTTGTCGGGTAAATTTTATTCAAGATTTTAAATTGGACTTCTTTCCCTTTAGAAGGGATAGGGAAGGTGATATAATCAGTTCTTATTTTTCCAATTTCTTCCCTTTGGAAATCTTTTAATATGTAATTACGTCTAAGTAAATTTGGAGAATAAAGACTCCTTAATGAAGATCTAAGAAACTTATTGTTGCATTTAATATCACAAAATCGAATACCATCTATATATAATTGCCTTAACTTGGGGGAGATGTCAGAATATATTATATCATTTACAACTATGTTTTTAAGTGACAATGGAATGGATTTTATAACCCGATTAAATTTACTTTTAGAACATTGGATATTAAACTTTTGGCAAAAATCTTGATGTCCTAGAACATGTCCTTCCTCATCTACAAAATGGGCAATTGCCCAAACACCTTTTGATAACCAATCTTGAATAAAAATAGATTTTCTGTTCATCAGTATATATCTATTGTTCCAAATTGGGCTATTATGTGGAGTGAAATTATGTTTAAATAACATTTTCCAATAAAGAAGGACCTGTTTATGGAATTCAGAGAGTTTAGCAGGTAGCTTAGTAATTTCAAAGTCACACTTTAGGAGAAAGTCGATACCCCCTAGTGTGTTAAAGACCTTACTTGGTATAAAAAACCAAATGGAGTGTGGATTATTTAGGAAGGATTTTAACCATTTAAGTTTCAAAACACCATTCATTATGTCAAAATCAATTGCGTTTCCACCGCCTTCAATGTATGGTTTAACCAAATCATCTTTAGATATATAATGGCACTTATTCCTCCAAATAAAATTAAAATTCAAGCTATTAATTGTTTTAATAACTTTATTCGATATTGATAGAGAGTAAGCTGATGGATATATAAATATAGTGGTTCAAAGATGGCGTCTAAGAGAGTCACTAGGGGGAGTGGACTCGGCTGGCGGAGTATATGCCGTGCCTCATCCAAATTTCATATGGCACATAGATGGAAATCACAAACTGATTCGTTGGAAGTTTGTTGTTCATGGTGCAATAGATGGATACAGCAGGATGTTGATGTTTCTTCAGTGCTCCAGCAATAATCGAGCTGAGACTGTGAAAGCCCTCTTTACTGCAGCTGTTGGACAATTTGGCAGACCCCTGCATATCAGGACTGATCACGGAGGAGAGAATGCTCAGATTTGGGAGGACATGCGAGCAAGCAGGGGTGAAAGCTCTGTCTTAATGGGAAGTTCTGTGCACAACCAGAGGATTGAGCGTTTCAACCGAGACTTAAACAACAACTGTAGCCGCATTTATGCACCTATTTTTATAATTGGAATCCTTGGTATCCTAGACTTAGAAAATGCAACAGACCTAATGTGATCTGCTGTATAAAGTGCTTTGAGCACTCAGAGTAGCCTTCAGTTAGGTCCATATCTATTTGGACACTGACAACTTTTGTTTTGTTACCTGTTTACTGAAATATATTCTAATTATAGTCATATTATAGAAATGACATTTAATCTAGGGTATCCATATTCAATGTGGATGAAGTGTTTAGGAGTTTCTTCTTCTTAATATGTGGCACCCTCTTTTTGAAGGGACCAAACGTTAATGGACAAGTGACTCAACAGCTATTCACAGGCAGGTATGGATAATTTCTTCGCTATGTCATTATCAATTAATTAGACAAAAAGCCTGGATTTGATTTGAGGTGTTGTGCTTGCATTTGGAAAATTTTATTATGAACAGACACCACGCGGTCAAAGAGAACAGAAAAACCCATCCGAGAAATTGCTACAATATTAGAAGTGGCAAAATTTACAGTTTGGTAAATCTTGAGAAAGGAAAAAAAGGACAGGTGAACTCAGCAACCCCGAAAGACCTGGGTGTCCAAGGAAGACAACAGTGGTGGATGATTGCAGAATCATTTCAATGGTGAAGAGAGAACCCATCACAACAGTCAACCAAGTGTAAGAACACTCTCCAGGAGTGGTTCCCAAACTTTTTTTGCTGGGCCCCCCTTTGTTTTACAAGAAAAATGTTCGTGGGGGGGGGCACACACCCATATTTTGCTCCATTCTGGTTTATTTCACATTGTGAATGTGAGAGTGAATTAATAGTGGAATTGTAAAGCGCTTTGGGTGCCTATAAGCGCTATATAAATGCAATCCATTCCAATCCATTTCACACCTCAAACATTTAGTAAACAATTAAGCAAATACAAGTAATCTGCAATAAATTACAGGTAGTAAGAAATAAACTACTAACTCTTTTACGCTACGTCCACACCTACACGGGTATTTTTGAAAACGCAGCTGTTTCGTCCACACTAAACGGCGTTTCGAATCACCGAAAACTGAGATTTTTTAAAACTCCTTTTTTGCGTTTACGTGTGGACGAGGAATACAGAGTTCGTCACGCAACGTCAAAGGTATGTGCCTTTTTTCACGTCACGCTGTGCGCCACGTTATTGTTTACATGAGATGAATTGCAGAATGGCAGATAGAGACAAAATACTGTTAATCTGACTATCTTCAGGTTTTACACGCTTACATATACACACGCAGTTACTGTCCCTCCATTTAGAAAGGCAGAGGCGTGTGACATGCAGGCACTGGAAGCTTTCCTGGCAGACAAACAGTGTGAGTTTGTTTTCAGTGCTCCTTCTGCAAGTCATGCAGGTGGCCATTAGGAGCATTCGTAATGTGCTAAATGCCACTACTGCTCAGTGTGCAGGAAGACTAGACGATGCCTTAGAACTTTGTTTTATGAAGCCATGGCTATTGTAAATAGCCACCCATTGACTGTGGACAGTATCAGCGACCCAAAAGCACCTGAACCTCTTACTCCAAACCATCTTATACTGATGAAGTCCAAGGTTGCCCTACCACCACCTGGGGAATTTGTGAAAGAAGACATGTATGCAGTGAAGAGGTGGCATAGAGTAGAATACTTAACTGAGCAGAAAAGAGAATACATCATGAATGCCTCCACAAGACAGAAGTGGCACAAAACCCTCCGCAATCTAAAAGTGAATGACATTGTTATCATCAAAGAAGGTATGTTACCAAGGTGTCAGTGGCAACTGGGACGTATAGTTGAAACTATGTGCCAAGATGGCGCCGGTGAGGTCGGCTGCCGTCACGACTGCTCCGACCACTTTTTCTTTGTCTTTGTTTTTTAAGTTAGTTTTCAGCGTTTCTAAATCGGCAAAATCATCACCATTGGGTACATTAGGTATGACAGTGACACTCTTGTTTCTATTGGTATACAATGTACTCACAATTCGAAGTTTTTAACTCCGGATCCGAGCTGGCCGAGTGAGATCTCGAGGGAGAACAAAGGGAAGCGGCGGCGGCCTAGAGGGAAGCGAGCCGGCGTCAGGAACAGGCTGAGAGCTCGTGCACACCGCACACCTCTGCCTAGCATCCTGCTCGCCAACGTCCAGTCACTGGAGAACAAGCTTGACGACCTCAGGGCCAGGATAAAGTTCCAGAGAGACATTCGGGACTGCAATCTCCTCTGCTTCACCGAGACATGGCTGAACCCAGCGGTGCCGGACCACGCCATCCAGCCGGCCGAGTTCTTCTCGGTTCACCGCATGGACAGGACACGGGACTCGGGGAAGTCAAGGGGAGGCGGCGTGTGTTTAATGGTGAACAACAACTGGTGCAACAGTGCGAACGTTGTTCCTCTCACACGCTCCTGCACACCAAATCTGGAACTACTGTCCATCATGTGTCGTCCTTTTTATCTACCTCGGGAATTTACATCGGTCATTGTAAGTGCCGTTTATATTCCACCACAAGCGGACACGGTCACCGCCTTATGCGAGCTGCATGAGGCACTCACACAGCACCAGACAC